CACTTAACCTCTCTAGGTCTTAGTTTCCTCATCTATAAAATTAGTCGTATTAGGTGACTTCTAAGGTCCTTTCAAAGTCTAAATCTATGATCTTCCAAGGGAGGGCAGAGTTGAGGAGCTAGCTACCTTTGCCCTACAGCCCCCAATATGGGACCCAGGTTCCTTCTCCATTATATATGTAATAACCATTAATATAATGACATTCTGCAATTCCAGAGCTGCTTGAACAAAGAGAATAACTTTGCAAAATATGACCAACTTAAAATGATACTGTAGTTGCCCTTCACAAAACATATACATAGGTCTCCTGGTCATTAGTGAGCTTCTTACATGTTTGTGGTTGGGGAGGGGAAGGGAGGAAGGGAGCACCTAATAATTTTGAAATGAGGAAAGGAAAAACTGCTCTACACAAAAAAAATGTGTTTGAGGATTCCTTTGCAATGGGTACTAGAGTATTTTGCTCTTATCTTTGGTGCCTGGTGCCTGACTGAATTTTGTGTCCTGTTGATTAGAACAGATGAAGCAAAATATGGCTACCAGTGACTTTATTTAACAGTATTTCATTAATTTGCAAAGTGCTGCAAGAAAATAATTTTCATTGACTCGGGATTTTAAACTTACTTTTTTTTTTTTAGGTTTCTTGTAGTCATAAGTTAACATTTCTTAATGTGCTACAATGTAGGAGCTAGAGTGGGAATATGGAATTTGTCTATAGTACAGTGTGAGAGGCAAATAAGTTTATTTTATAAGACATATTTATTTCAATAAATTACCCTAGGAGAAGGTAATTATTTTATAACCTTTGGGATATAAAATAATAGTCAAAAATCTCACTTGAGAAAGTCAGTATTTCCCCATAAGCTAACATTTTTTTTTCTTTATGATTTGGATTTTTGTCAGTTTAGTTGCCAGGAAAATTGAACAATTTCTAGTCTGAGTTAAAAAAAAAATCACAGGGTATTGTATTTTTACTTGCTGAAGGATCTATAAACATGTCAAGGATTTTTTAAAAAAGTGTTTAGTTATTAAAAAGCTGTCAAGAATGTCAGTAGATGCTTGTAACTATCTGATACACACTAACAGCTTGGAAGGAGTAAATATAAGAATTTCAGTACATAATAAATTTTTTAGCTGCTGTGAAACTAGCTATTTTTGTACTGTGTATGCTTTTTAGTTGTACATTCTTTATGTTCTAAATAAGCAAGCATTTTTGTGAGCTTTTGTAGTGAAAATGATGGCACTTTAGAATTATTTATATTCTAGTATCTTTAGTTTTATTGTACATTTAGTTCCTCAAGGGCAAGTACCACACCTTTGTTACTATGTATAGTGGCTAGTACTCTATAGGGACTTACTAACTTTAACAATGATACAACAAGAAGTAGTATTTAGCATATTTGAGTGAACTATGGTATGAGACAACCAAGAATCCTCAATTAATTCGGAAGTATAGGTGTCAGCTTAACTGTCTATCTTAGAATGAGTCATTACTTTCATAAAATGCACTTTGTTATATCATTGTAATAACCTATGAGTTGTGATGACTACAATTTTACTTAAAACAATTTCCTTTGAATTTCCCTTAATCAATTAATATCGTCGTGAAACCCATTTTATAATATACATTAAAGTGCATTTTTATTTAAATGATTTTAGGGTATCTTGCTTTATAGCCTTCTAAATGTTTTTTATCCTCTCCTATCCCAAAGACAAAAAAAAATCACTATAATTATCCACATAGTAATAAACCACATGTTATTTACTGTTTTCACATTAGGTTATATTACTACTTACAAAGTTGTATAGTATCCATCCCTAATCTTTTCATTGCACTGCCCTTTCCAACTGACTTGTTTCACATTTTGCCTTGGATAGACCATCGGCATCTCACATTGAACATGTCTAGAGACTAAACTCACCATCTTTTCTCTTATATATGCCCCTTGTCCTAACTTTGCTGTTTATGTTGAGGGTACTGCCATTTCCCCAGTCATCCAAGTTCATGATCTTAAGTCACTTTGATGGATTCTTTCCTTTATTCATCATATCCAGTAAGATGCCAAATCCTGCCATCTCTCTCCATAACATATCTTGCATATTTGTCCCCTTCTCAGTAGATCCTGAGCTGCCACCATTTGTTGAAAACCGTTCAGTCCTTAATCTCTTCTTGCCTTGTTCTATTCTAATAGCCTTCTAGGTAGTCTTATTGTTTCCAATATTTCTTCTAATTCATCCTTTACAGAGTTAAATAACTGTTCTGAGGAATCCATCTGACCATTACACTCTCATATTAAAAAACCTTTAGTGGCTCAGTGTCCCCTCTAGAATAAAATTCAAACTCTGCATGAAGAACCTTCCAGAATCTGTCTTCAAACTCTTTCCATCTAATACATCATCGTCCTTCATGAATTCTCCATCCCAGGCAAACAACTTTTTGGCTGTTGTGTTTTCATCTGTGTATCCTCAGCAGTTTGAGTAGTGTTGTTCACAAAGTGGATACTTACTTGAATTATTTAATATACAATCACAACCATTCCTCCTTGCTTTTCCTATATATTTAAAGCATTTTTATGGAGATAAAAATACAAATAAGAAACATGCATTTAAGAGTAACAACCCTCAAACTAAGTTTCTGGCCTTTTAACTAAGACTATTGACAGTAGGTACAATGTTTTTGCTTCTTCATGCAGTTAATAGTTTCCTTAAGAGTCTTGTAGTGATCACAGAGGAAAGGTGATGGTAATAATAATAACAATGATAATAATAAATCTAGTTAGTATGTAGGCAAAGGAAAATTTTTTTGATTGCAGTTTTTTAAGTTTGGTTCTGTGGCTTCCCAGACCTAACTAGAGTTATAAGGCTACCTGAGAGTGTTACAATGTATATTATTCTTGAATTCCAATCAATATCTTAAGTTAGAGGTCTCTGATCTCTTGAAAATGGACCTTTTAAAAATATATATTTTTAAAAAATTAGCACTTCAAAACTATTTAAGTTTCCATCTGAAAACTAATGCTTAGTATTATTTGACTCTTTCATGAAACAAACTTACAGCCTTAGGAATGAAAAATATTGGGAAAGTTGTATCACTTAAAACACTTGGGAAATCTTACTTAAATAGGTACTGACATATTACCCTTTAAGATTTTTAAAAAAGAAACTTACAGATTCAATTTAAAAATATTGTTTTCTTATAAACCTCTTAAGGCTCTATTTCAGTGCTTTAATGCATGTTGAGGGTTTTGACGCCAGAAACTTCATTCATATACATATATTTTATACATTCTTAGGATACTGGCAAAAAAGGAGCAATGCTGAAACAGCCAAATCAGTCTGTGGAATACAAAATGATTGGACTCATCAATTTTTTGTTTTATAATTTTGGTCCTTTGTGCTTGATCACACACTTAAACTTAGATTGAAAGAGCACATAGAATGTAGGCAATCAGAATTATAGTAAAAATAAAAGTTCAATCTTTGACATTCACATGGTTTGGCTCAGGTATTTAGAATGGAAAAAATGATTCACTTAAAAAAAGAAAATAGAGATAAAAAAAGGAAAAGGAAAATTATTTTTGTTAATGTTTTGTTTTACAATATCATTTTTCTTACAAAATTATTTAAAACTAGAAGATGGAGATGCCTTTTTATTTTAACGTACACACACCTCAGTACCGCAACTAAGTAAGTTTATTATATTTTAAACATTGGGAAAATAATTTTTGGAACCCTCAGGTAAGGACTTAGGTTCAGATTCTTGCTTCTACCAGTTAGTATCTATGTGACCTTGGATAAGTTACCTTTGTTGTCCTCAGTTTTCTCATCAGTAAAATGAGGGTGATGGACTTGAGGTCCCCTTGAACTCCTAAAACTATGAGCATAAGACCTGGGCATTTCCATGCTACCATCACTACAATATAGAAAAAAAATAATAATATACATGTAGAAAATACACAATTTAAAAATCTTTATTACATGTATTTCTGCACATGTGCAAAGCCATTTTAAAATTGTAGTCATTTCCCTCCCCCCCTTCTCTTTTTTTGCAAAATAACAGAAGCAGTTGGGTCTTATGGATCAATGAACAATTTAAAATATTTAACTTAATTTGTTTTGCAGTTGCACTAGGCTGGCCTTCCTCCCCTCCCTTCCTCCTTCCCCCCCTCCCCCACCCATTTACACTGGTAAGTTCATTTTCATTTTAAAATCAGAGCAATACTATTTTTAAAAAGGAAATTAATGTATCGGGAAGGGGGAGATGCAAAATTTATCCTCCTGTGCCACGGAGGATGAATAAATCCGCTTTGAGGGGGGGGTTGAGGCCTTCAACAAATGGAGTTGAAACCCTTGATCCCGACGTGGAGCTAGGCTGCTGGTGAGTCCTACGTGAAGGGACAGGGTTGATTCTCCGGGGGAAAGGGGGTGCGGGGGCTACACTGGGGTAGCCTTTTTGGCGGAGAAGAGGAAGAGGGGGGGCTTTGAGGGTAGCCTCCTGGCAGAGTCTCCCCGGGTCTCAGCGGGTGGGAGATGAGCAAGTCGCAGCCCCGAGCGGGTTTTTACGGCCGAGCTAGGGCGGCGGCGGCGGCGGCGGCAGTGGCGGTGCGTGTGTGTCGGGCGGGCGGGAGAAGGAGGAGGAGGAGGAGGAGGTGGCGGCGGCGTCGGTGCTGGAAAGAAGCGGGGAGGGGGGGAGCGTTGTCACGGAGACTCCGGTGCCGCCGGGGACCCCGCAGCAGCGAGGGAAGTGGGTTCCCCCGGCGGAGGGGAGCAGGCTGCGGCGGGGCCGGGGCAACGGAGAGACCCGGAGGGGAGGTGAGCGACCATCTCCCCTTCCGCATTTTCCTGGGTCTCTCTCCCGGGCGGTGACGTGACGTGCTGACGGCGGGCCCGTGCCGGGGATCTGGGCCGCTTTTTGTCAGCTCCGAGCTCGGCCCCTCCTCCCTCCCTCCGCCCGCCCCAACCAGCCGGAGCCCGGCCCAGTGCTCCAGAGAGAGCCCGGCCTGCAGCACCAGCGACCGCCGCCGACATCCCTACACGCCTGCACGGTGAGTCCCCGGCGCGGTGGCGGCCGCCCGGCCTAGTGCGCGGGAGGGCGGCCTGGTCGTGGCCTGGCCGGCCGCAAGGCCCCCCTCCCGCGCACTAGGCCGGGCGGCATGGCGCGCGGCGCGGTGCAGGCCCCGAGGAGGCCGCAGCTAGGCCCGGGGAGGAGCCCGTGTGCCCAGAGCGGCGGCGGCGGCGGCGGGGCCGGCGGAGGCGCGCTCCGTAAGCGGGAGGGGGGGGGGGGGGGGGGGAGGTGTGAGAGGCGGGGTGGGGGGGCACAAGGTCGGTGCTACACCGGGGCTGGGGGGTATCGTGCACGGGGCAGAACCGGGGACGAGGCGAAGGCTGCAGGGGTGGGGGGAAGGCCGCAGGCGGGCTAGGGGTAGATGGAGATTTTTCGCTATGTAAATATCCGCGGGGGGGGGTGTTGGGGGACAAGATGGCGGCGGCTCGCTGTCTGCTGCAGGAGGGCGGTTGAAGGGGGGGGTGGTGAAGCGGGGGAGCCGCCATCTTAAATTAGTCGTCGGGATAGAAAATTCCGCTACAGACCGTGAGAGGGGGTGGGGGGAGGGTAGGCGAGGATTGCCCCCGCTAGGAGCTCGGGAGAAACGGAGCTGCGGAGTCTGCGCGGATGGGGGCGTGCTCTCTCTTCTCCCTGGGACTGCCGGAGCCGGCGCCGCCATCATTATCGCTTTGCCTCCAATTTCTTGGCGTTAGCGCCACCTTCCTGCTCTTCCTCGGGCACCCGTGATTGCAGCTTCCGCGGAATTTTAACTGTGCAGCCTCAGGCGGCCGCCACCGCCTCCCTTCAGCGCTTGTGTGCCTCCCACGGACTGCACCCGGCTCTCGTCCTCCCCCGAGGAGCCGGCGCCCTGATGTGGGCTTGGGGTCGGGCCGGGGGGGGGCATTCCCGCGGGGTGGGCATTCCCGCGGGGTCCCTCACTGCCCCCCCCCGGGTCCCGCGTTCTCCGGAGCATCGCCCCGAGGTTCCCTCTGTGTTCCTGTAACTTACTGGACCATTCAAAGGTGGTCTTGTCCAGGAAACAAAGCTCTCTGGGAATCAAAGAGAAAGGAGATTAAAAGGAAATTGTAGCTTAATTTTACGGGCACGTTCGGATGGTCCTGTGCCCTTGCCTCAGTTATGCAACGAGAAACATTGTTGCTTTGGGTTACTGCAGAATTAAAAAGAAACTAACTGGCTAGGAAAGAAGTTCGATCTGTTCTTATTTTGTCCGTACAGCAAAAGTACAAATCACACAGACCAATAAAACGTCATCAAGATTTAAAGTATCCATTTAATAAAATTCTTGTCTTAAAAATAAAAATTAAATCTAGAGATTAATACCTTTTTGTAGATCATTTTTCCTCCGTGGTGCATTTTCAGATGTATAGAATACAGACGACATGGAAGTTTTTGAAGGGTTTCTAATCGAATGAGAACAGTGATGTAATGCAGAATTTGTTGCCTAAGTACATATGTATGGTTTCTTTCTCTTACCTGTTTGTAACATTTTAAAGGATGCTTTCTTCCATATCATTTTTAAAATCTTAGCAACGTTTGTCAGTAGAATTAAGAAATTCTGGAAACATTAGTTAGTTTGAACTGTTGTCACCAGAAAGCCTTTTCAGAATTTTGAATCAGTTGTAAGACAGTAAAGAGATATATAGTGTGATGACTCTGCCAAAAGTTGATACCTCTTGAATACCTTTGGTGGATGTTGCCCCTGTTGCTTTTTTCCATTCCAGCCTTTGCTCACCTCAAATAACCTTTGTTCAGAAGCTGTTACCTATCGTGAACTCGAAGGAATGGTGATGCTACAGGTCAAATTCACACTATGAAGAATCAGTCCTATGAGAATTCTAGTAAAATTTGATAAGTCTTGTAATTCTTTATAGTGTAGAAAAGGCCTTTTTTTAAAAAAAAAAGGCACTGACTTTGGAGATTGCTTCATGCAACCAATGTGTTTCAACTTGGTTATGAAGGAATTATTAATCATCCTTTTGTTTGAAAGGGTAATTCAGTTTATTCATCTAGCCTTTTGGCTAATGTTTACATGATGGTTGATTGTCCTAAAAACTAGGGATGAATAAAATCCTTGGATTCTAGAATTTTGGACCTAAATCCATGTGACAGGTTACATAGTAAAAGATAATTTCAGAACAAAATTGTAGCAATGGTGATATAAACTGCTTTTGGCAGAGTGACTGCTAGTACACCAATGGTCTATCAACTAAGTAAAAGGATCTCTCTTAGAGATTTCTCCTCTTCTGGGTATGCCTGGTTTTAAAAAACAGATGGGTTCCTCAGTCTTTATGAAGTAGACATGTTTTTGAGGGGTTGTATGAATCATGTTTTTGTAAATTGAATCATTTTAAGTGCTCTGGAGATGCATAAAGGAGGTCTGTGGTAACTTTTATAAAATGAATAAGAGGATCCAAACTTAGAATAACAAATTGGTGAGTGATTAAAGTTGGGCACAGTTAACTTTTCATTTGTGTAGGTGTGTTTTGTTTTTTAAATGAAAATTAGTATGAAATGTATGGGGGGGAAGTGATAGCTGTTCTGGGGATAAACTATAGGGCAATTGTTATATTCCACATATATTTGCACCTCACTTAATTGGAGAGTTAAAGCCAAGCAATCTATATTTGTTAGACTGCCACTCAGCTTTATTAATATGCTTGAAATTGACTACGTTAAATGTATCTTAAATGTGGTTTTCTGGTTTCCAACAGATTAGAGACACCAAACTAGAAGAGATGAGAACAGCCTGTGTTATATTAATGAGAGAGACCCCAGAGAGGTGTGTAAGTTAGAGGAAGACACAATTATGGCAAAACTGACAGCTGATGGCTGAACAGCTAAAAATACTGATGATAGTTGTTTATCCTATTACAATAATGCATGTTGATGTTGATGGAATCATCCAGAAGGGATTAAATTATGCTATTTAGAAAGGCAAGGAATTTTCTGCATTGTATGTATGGGGGACTATGGATGGGGAACACTACATATGATGTTGGACTTGATCTATGTTGTTTTGCTGAATTGTTTCCCTCTCCCCCCACCCACCTTTTTAAGAAATGGCTCTAGTCTAGAGAGGATGGAGGGATATTTTGATTATTTTAGTTGATGTAAAAACATCTCATTAAGACTTTTAAAGGAAGCATACCTATATGCAAAAGAGTTTTATAAGAAATGGTTAATTATACTACTACTGTACGTTTGTATTGTGCTCTATAAAATTTAGAACACATTCATATGAATGATTTTATTTGATGCTCAAAACAATCCTGTGAGGTTAAGGGCAAATATTTTTCTCATTTTATAGATCAAAATGTAAGGTTCAGAAACACTGACTTGTCTAAAGACATGACTAAGATAGTGGGGCCTGGTCTGGAACCTTGGTCTTCTTACTTCTAATCCAATGTTCTTTTGGAGCTGGAAGGCATAAGCTTCAGTTAACTGGAGAATTCTAAAAATTACTGAAAGCTGTGCCATCTGATGAGAGATCCTGTAACTTTCCTCTTCTCGCCTTAAAAAATTTCTGTCTCTTCACTCATCTGCTGTCTTTTCAAGGTTGAATCCTATACCTCTCTTGATCCCCTCTCCATCAGTTATCTCCCATTTCTCTTTCATCTTACAGCCATCATGCGATCTCTCTCTGTTAGATTGTCCCTTTTCAAAAACCAAAAATAGCCCAAACCCTTTTACCCTAATACTCTTCAACCAGTCTGTTACGGGGGCAAGGGGAGAGATACATTTTGCAACTCTGAGAAAACTGATTGGATTATTATATTTACCAAAGCTAATTAGAGTAGTTACTTTGAAGTCATTGCGAAAGGAGCCACCTCCTGTTCAGTAGATTAAGTATGTTTTTAAGGGATATTTTCTGCCATGTTATTGTTAAGGTAGGACAACTACCATCACTCACTGTGAACAGGAGTGCAGTTTTTATTTAAGTGAAACATGTTTTTAAAAGAAAAGGAGCTGGTATAGTACATAGAGTGCTGGGCTCATAGTCGAGAATACTTGGGTTCAAATACCATTCCAATACTTTATTAGCTCTATGACCTTGGGCAAATCACTGAACCTCTTTGTGACACTGGTAATTGCCTATGAGTTATTTACTAAACCATAGATGAATTTTCATCTGCCTGTTTGTGGAAGGAATTCCCACACTGTTTCCTGTGCTCCCCAAATCATAGATTTTTCCCATATTTGGCAAACATATCCTAGTGTTTTTTCTTCAACAAGAATATGAAAACAAACAAAAGAAAGGTACACGAGTTTTAATAGTTTTTCTCTTTTGAATTTTTAAATACTAAGGTAAAATATGTTTCTTGGGAAGAAAAGGAGTTCGAGTGAATATGAGCAGACTTAGACCATATTGTATGTCAGTAGATACTTAAGTAGATCTTTGGTCTCATTATTTTGGGGACCTCCTGTAACAGTGCAGATCACAAAAGTTTTTATCTTCCTTGGACAACTCTTGTCCATGTCATTCTGTTGATGGTCCAAAGGTGGGAGCTGGGGGAGTGAGGGGAAGGAAAGGACGGGATGTTGACAACTACTCAGAGTGCTGGGTCTGCCTTCTAGCTCTTTTGACGTTACCGGGATACCAGTGTGGAAAATCTAGGCTGTCCATTTGTTTTCTTTTGGTTTTATATATATATACACATATATACATGTATGTATATGTATATGTATATATACATACATGTATATATATATGTAAAGATAGAACTTTGTTTCAGGGAAAATTAGGATGTTGAAAGCACACATAATTTATTAGACACAGTTCAGCTAGCTCTATTCCTTCTATTTAATTCAGAGCTCAGTTCATTTTTTATCTGCAGTTTTTGTCCAAGACCTGTCTATAGAGAAAACTTATCTCTCTGTCTCTATGTAGATACATAAAGATAGAGCAATATGTGTTTATAAATATCTATATAGGTATTTACATGTAAATATAACACACACACACATATACATACCTAGATATTTATATCTGCATCTATTTGTAGATAGATATCTTAATAGATAGGGACCAGCTTTGTGAACTCTCCATTGAAAGTCCAGACAGCAGACTTTCTTTCATCCACTTTTTTTCATGTATGAATAGTTGGACTGATCTCTAGTAAGGGATGATAAATTTCCTTTGTGGGTTCTGCAGTGTTTCATTGCTAGATGAAATCAGCCCAATGTCATCCACAGATAGGAGCATCTGAAGGATATCATTTGCTTGTTACCCTCTCATATCTTCATTAAGGATGCACTGAATGCTTGTCTAGCTTATATAGAGTCAAGAAAGGAGGCGTTTGGGTCAGTCCTTGCTATCCATTTGTTTAGTGTCTTCCAAGTTCATCCTTAAATGCTCTAGAAATTATCTCACTTAATTGACCCTCCTATCAATTTTTTATAAGCTTGTTTTTTTCCTGCCCTGCTTATTGCTCTTTTTAAAATGAGATGTTCCTAATCTTCTACCATCATCTTCTCTATATTAAGCTAGTGTTATCCTTGCCTGCCATATAACTAACTCTCCCTTTCAGGGAGATCATATGTTTGTTGCTTGAGATGGTTTCTAAGTTTTTTTGGCCTTCTTGTTGTACATTTTAAGGAATTCATATATTTACTTTCTTAGTAACTGAGCATATTATGTGTTCTTCTTTCATTCATTTCCCAATTATTGGCTTTAGTGGCTTGTTTGGATAGGTGAGGTTGAAGCTAGTCTAATTTAATATGCTGTCTCCTTGTTTTCTAATTTGATATTTTGATTTTTGCTCTTATAATTTGACAGTCTTACTTCACAGAGCAGATTTGGAAATGAACACTTAAAATTCAGAATTATGGAACGAAACTTTGTCTTTTTTTTCCCAGTTTATTTGTAGACTAGAAAAATAAGATAACTTACATTGTAAGTTTCTAAATGGATTTTTCAGTTCAGAAAAAATTATTCCAAAGAACAAAATTTCTTTTGTACGTAGTATCAAAGAAGAGCTGAGAGGGGCATTAGATAATCTTAATCTCAACCTTGCTTTTACAGATGTGTGAACTGAAGCCCAGAGAGGTGAAGTGACTTGTTGACCACCACATGGTGTGGCTGAGCCGGAATTTGGATCCACGCCTTAGTACAAATCCAGGGCTTTCTCCATCAGACCCTGTTGCCTCTTCACTGGCAGATAAAGCTTTCGTAAGTTGGATTCTACTTCACTAGATCATTTCATAAGCTGTTTGAAGACTCACTCTGGTTTACTCATCTTTTTATTCCCTTTGTGTGTAAATTGGAGCTTAAATATTAATTGTTGAATTGAAAAGCATTTCATGACTTCAGGTGGTCAGGTAAAAATTCTGTTGTCTTTTCTTATTTAAAAGCATTTTAGAGAATAACCTTCTCGAATGGTTTACCCTGATCCTTCAAATTTGCTGTACAGTAGAGCAGTAGGTTTGGAGTCCAAGGATTTGTGTTTGAATCCTGTTGCATACCTATGCAACTTAATTTCTAGCAGCCTCAGTTTCCTCATCTGTAAAATGAAAGAATTGGACTAAATTAGTCCCTGAGGTCACTTCCAACTCTAGATCCTATGACTTATGATCCTAAGAATGATTGTTGAATGCTTTCATCATAGCCAAATCTATTTTATTTTCTCTCTAAACGATTGTGACCAAAGTTATTGATTTTTAATCTTATTGTTTTCCTAATTTCAACATTTTAAATATTTATCTATTCTGTGATGTAAATGGAAACCTACATGTTGTGAGCATACATATTTCCTGAAGGACATAGGATTTGTGAGTTTTAAGTGAGAGAAAGGAAATATCTTATTGAATCATTTTATGTCATTTTTTTGGGTGAATTAAATAATATAGACTCCATATTGTGGAGACTTCATCAAAATTTGAATTTGCAAAGAGGTATATATTAGGATGTTTTAATAATTTATATTACAAAATAAGGCATATAGTTCACTAACTATATGAGCCTAGTGGTTATAACTCTCCTAGAATGGTGCTTTGTAAGGTGTAGCATTTATGAAACGAATGCATAAATTCATGAATGGTGAGAAGAGAAACTGAAAGCTCAGATGTTTGGAGAGATGTGCTAGTAATTAAAGATAAATCCAAAATGAAGAAAAAAAAGTTCAGAAATTATACATAAATGGCAAAATGAGATCTTATTTGTAAAAATTCAGCTTATACTTCATTTGCATTAGTAGAATGGAGGAAATTTTGTATAGTGATGCTAAATAGGATAGCTCAATCTCAATGATGATGGGTTGAGTGAAGAAGTAATTTCTGACCAGGGCATCTTGGATTGATTAAACCCTTTTTTTAAAATATATAAATTAATTTAAAATGTATTTTGTGAGCTTGTTGACTATTATCTAGGCGGAACACAACTTTACTGTGCAAACTTTCTGTGGGTGTTTTTGTGGATTTTATTAGTAATTCATTCAGAATAAGGGTAACACTGTTTTGTTCTTTAGTCAGAAAAATTTCAGTTCTTATTTCAAATTTACCTTTTATGTCAACTTCTTGTTTGTTTGTTTGTTTGTTTTTTTTTGGTGAGGCAGTTGGGGTTAAGTGACTTACCCAGGGTCACACAGCTAGTAAGTGTCATGTATCAGCGGATTTGAACTCAGGTCCTCCTGACTCTAAGGCAGGAGCTTTATCCACTGTGCCACCTAGCTGCCCCTTATGTCAACTTCTTTATAGTTCTATGTATTACATAAAAATTAGCTTGATTTTGTTGATCTTTTAAAATATGTTTCTTGTAGGTGCTCTTTTTTTTTTAGTATTGGAATTAAGGGAGACCTAACATTAAAATTGGTTACTATCAAAAATAGTTTTGAGCTCACGAGTTACCAACATGGTACCATATAATTATGAAAAATGATTTGAGAAGGATGTTGAGAATTTGAAGAGAGATGTTTGTCTTGACTTTTTTAAAAGCCTAGGACCTAAATATTAATGCACAAAAGTAATCCTAATGAACTACAAAAATATCAGGTGTTATTTTAGTAAAATGAACTTTGATTTCACATCTGCTCATTTACAATTCATGTTGGAACTTGTGTTTCTTTCTCCTTGTTTGTGTAATGAGAATTTCTGCAGTGGTTGTTCTTACTTTAAACTTGTTATTTTTCGTTGAGCACCGCTTCTTGCAAACTTTGGCTTTACTTTTAAAGCCCTTCATAACCTGGTCCCTTCCTACCTTTCCAATCTTTTCTCTTCTCCATGTACCCTGTGATCCAATGACACTGACCTTCTTGCTATTCTTGTACAAGATACTCCATCTCCTGACTATTGAGTATTTTCACTGGCTGTTCCCCATTCCTGGAATGCTCCCTCCTCATCTCTACTTCCTGGCTTCCTTCAAGTCTTGCTAAAGTCCCATCTTCCACAATAAACCTCTCTTTTCTCATTTTCCTTAATGTTAGTGCCTTTCCTCTAGTACTGTTCTCCAATTTTTCCATATATGTATTGTTTATGCATAGTACATTGTACATGTTGTCTCCTTCATTAGACTGTCAGTGCCTTTAGATCAGAGACTGTTTTGCCTTTCTTTGTATCTCCAGCACTTAGCACAATGCTTGGCACATAGTAGGTGCTTAATAAGTGCTAGTTGACTGACTACTGGCAGTCATTTTAACTTTCCTATCTTTAATGGTTTATTACTTGTATAAGAATTCTTAATCTCAAGGTAAATTTTGTGAGTAAACCTGGAAGTTGTTACTTTCAGATTAATGCAAATATTCAGCTTGTTATTGTTATATGACTTAACTATATATTGGCATTGGTTAATTTAGTTCACTTCCACAAATATTATGTGCAAGATAGGCAGTGTAGAATCTGTTATAAGTTCTTGAATTAATAATGTAAGGTGATAAAGGTGATGCTTTGAAGATTAGTCTGATAATATACTTTATCAAAAGCTTTACTAAAATTGAGGTAAACTTCATTTACTGTGTTCTTCTATCTACCATAGGACTAGAAAAGTCAGGAGACTTGGGTTCAACTTCAGTTTCTGCCACTAACTAATTGTGTGACCTTCATCTTTAAAATGAGAGAGTTGGGTTAGATGCCTTCCTTGGTCTAACAATATATGATTGGAGATAGTGAGATGAGTTAGAGTTGAGATGATGAAGACGGGGTCATTGGGTATGAAGAGAAAGGAACAACTGAGAGAAGTAGTAAAAGAAGATTTTATTGGCAGATTAATTAGTGAATGGAGCACAACTTGGACTTCAGTGCCAGGGAGAATACTGGTGCTTTTTGAATAAAATGGAAAAATTTAGATGGAAGGTTGAATTAGGAGAAAAGTTATTCCAAGACTGCTTGTTTTTGGATGTGTTGAATTTGAAATGGAAAAATTATTTGGGAAACTATAGCTATAGATTGGTCATCGTTATAATGCAATTGAGAATGACAAATATGAACAATGTAAAGTAATATGGAAAGACATGAAGTAATGCAAAGTGAAGAACGGACAATCAGAAGACCAGTTAGTTTATAGTCTGTATCTCTTAGCAGCCTAACAGCCTGCTGAAGTCAGTAGAGGCCAGTTTCAAAGCCAGGAAGATAAGATGAGAAGCTGCAGAATAGTTGCCCATCTGCATGGATAGAAAGAGTCTCCTTACTGGGCCTTTTCTTACACAGTTGAAATTATATATATCTAGACTGCTTCCCTGTCCACTCCTCCCCCTTCCCCCAATAAACCAACTATATAATAGAACATTATATATGTTTATATGTACAAATGCAGAGGTGACTAGTAAGCAAAGAATAGAAGAGGAAATAGAATAATTAGTATGATATGAATATTTGAATATAGGTAATATTTTGAAAAGTTTTGTATGTAAGGTAATAATTGGGGCCAGGGTGGGTTGGAGCCAACCAAGAGGGAGGAAGTTCTGAGGGAGGAGAGAAGTGAAGAAGATAAGTAGAACAATGAATGGGAAAAGAAAGAGGAGGAAGGAAGAGAGAGGGAAAGAATACAAGGAGTAGGGAAGAGAACAGGATAAAAGAAGAAGGAGGGGGAAAGAAGAAGATGGAAAGAAAGAGGGAAGTTAGGGAAGGGGAAGAGAGAAAACATGGTACAGTGGAAAAGCTAGGGATTTTTTTTTTCTTTGCTTAGGCAGTTGGGGTTAAGTCACTTGCCAAGGGTCACACAGATAGTAAATGTCAGGTGTCTGAGGCCAGATTTGAGCTAAGGTCCTCCTGACTCCAGGGCCAGTATCCACTGCACCACCTAGCTGCCCCCAAAGCTAGGGATTTTAAGAGGTAGGGGTGGAGTGGGGGTGGGGGAAGAAAAGGTACATTCTGGGCAGGAAGGACAGGCTTTAGAAAGGCACAGAGATGGGAAAAGGCATGTCAAGAGTAGGGTAACAGCTAGTTTGACTTGAGACGAGGGGAGGAATTCAAGTAAATCTAGAATGGTAAGTCTGAACCAGATGGCGCAGGGCCTTAAATGTCAGGTTAAGAAGTTTGTTTTGATGTTAGAGCCAAGAGGGTGAGCAGATGGAAAGGAAATGAGAGGATTGATAGTCATGGGATGTGAAACATGGTCCAGTGAATAGTCTGGAACTCTCTAGATATAGTGAGTCATTTATGCTAGTTGACTCTTCATTCAGGAGAGCATGCCTCCCAGGGTTGCAATTCCAAAGTCATGTTTATTAAAATCATCCAGGGCATGTTACCAAGAGGCCCATTGCCCAGAGGGAGCAGCTAGGCCCCATATCAGAGAGGTGACTGGGACTAAAATCAATCAATAAACATTTATTAAGTGCCTGCTATGTGCCAGGCACTGTGCTACGTTCTGGAGATACAAAAAGAGACAAAAGACTTACCTTCAAGGAGCTCACAGTCTGTTGGAGGAGATAACAAGTAACAAACATATACAAACAAGCTATAAACAGTATAAATAAAATCACATGGGGGTAGACTGAGAGAGAGGGAGAGTTGAGAGTTGAGAATGACTTGCAGGTTGCAAACCTGGGTGACTAATCTGATGAGGGCACCTCTGTAATCTTCCTTCTGCCTCCAAAGTAGATCTTGAAAAAAGCTTTCTGTTGGTTCTTATCATTCATGAAAAGGCTTGGTATCCTGTATGCTTTGGTGTTGGTGACATTTTTTAATAGGAAGTTGCCACTCTTTTATATTCATCCTCATTTGTTGTTGCTGCTGTGTGGTCATTCAGTTGTGTGTCACTCTTCGTGACTCCATGAACCATAGTATGCCAGATTTTTTTATCTTTCACTATCTCCCAAAATCTGTTCAAGCTCATATTTATTGCTGCTATGACACTATCTACCCATCTCATCATCTGCCACCTTTTGCCTTCATTCTTTCCCAGCATCCTCATATTGCTGCCTCTGTGTCTTGAACCTATTACTTAAAGTTAATAACATTTTTTTGTCTGAACCTGTGATTTCATTGGTATAGGTAATTCCCAGTGAGGAAACTCCCCATATCAATGCATATCAACAACTGCTCTGCAATTTACTGTCTTAGAGAATTGCCTACTGGCACTGAGAGGTAAAGTGACTTGCCCAGCATCATACAGTCAGCGTGTGTCAGAGGCAGGATTTGCACCCAAATCTTCTTGACTTCCAAGTCCGACTTTCTATCCACTGTATCATGCTGTCTTAATAAAACTAGAAAATTGTGATATTTGACTAAATGGTCCAGACCAGACCTATGAAAAAATAATTAAAACTGAAGTGAGACATGGGAACTTGTTTATTGAGGAAGCATCACTGTTAGTGAGACCTTTACTTAAGGTCTTTTCTCTTTATTCAACCAATTAGTGCTATTCATAGATTTGATTACAGATTTTGTTGTGAACCACTCTATTGCTGTGTGTAAAAAGACCAGCTGGAAATTTGAAGGGACCTTAGTGGTCATTTAGAGTTGTTGTTTACACATGGGGAAACTGAGGCCTAGAGTGGTAAAAGTTACTTGTGCAGAGCCTCTGATTGCAAATTCAGTGGTTTTTCTGTCTTGGAACTCATTTTCAGCCAGGTGGTCAATATATGTAGAAGGAGCAATTCCCACATTATGGGACCCTGTAATAGTCTGTTAATATTTGGGGAGAAGAAAACTGATCTTACTAATTTCTCAATTTATTACTATGTCTATATAATTAACAGTTTATTCAATTTCAAAATGATAGGTAATAGCAATAGGGACCTGACTTGTGATTTCAGTGGTATAGGGAATTCTCCTTGAGGAAACTTCCACTACCAATGCAGGCTGGCACCTTCTATGAAACTTATTTTATTGTCTTACAAAGTTGCCTAGATAAAGCACTGAGAGGTTAAATGACCTGTTGGGGTGACACCACCATTATGTATCTGAGATAATATGGTACTTGAACCCAGGTTTTTCCTGGCTTCAAGGGTAGCTCCCTATCTACTCCATTGCCTTGAAACAAAATAAAACATGTACAGAAACATACGCGTGCACAAACACACACATCCACATACACATAGATTAAAACATATATGTACAGAAGCCTTTTCCCAGTAGATAAGAAGTTGAAGAATATGAACGGACAATTCTTAAAAGAAGAATTGCAAGCTATTAACCCTATGAAAGAATGCCCCAAATCACTAGTAATAAGAGAAATGCAAATCCAAACACCCTTAAGATTTCAGCTTATGATGAGATGGGAAATAGTCTATGTTGGAGGGATTGTGGGAAGATAAGCACACCAGTGAGTGCATTGTTGATGAAATTATGTATAAGTACAATCATTTTGGAAAGCAGTTTGATATTATGCAAATAAAGTGACTAAAATGTTCATAATTCTTTGACCCAGTGATTCCTCTACTAAACATTATTACTGCAAGGAGATCACTACTAAGAAGAAAGTCCATATATATACCAGAATATTTGTAGGAACACTTTTTTTGTAGTGGCAAAGAATTGGAAACAAAGTAAATTTCCTTTGATTGAGTAATGGCTAAACAAATGGTGGTACATGAAAGTAATTAAATGTTACTGTGCTCTAAGAAATGACAAATGATGAGTATAGAGAAGCATGGAAAGACATGTATTTTAAGAATTTTTCAATGTATTGATTAGTTTTTCTGGCTCTATTCTCTTCTAAAAATATTCTTTGATTTATGAGATGATTTTCTGGGCAATTGGGGAAGTATACAGGGATGTTTTAGGTGATATAATAACAAGATATCAGTAAGAATTTTTTTAAAAAATGTGGCATGGGCGCTCTGGAGCAAAGTCAGGCCTATAACTAGATAGACATTTTAGGAGTCCTCCAGAGATAATAAGGTGGTAGCATGAGCTAGAAAAAAGGATCAGATCTTTGAGAGGGAATGTAGAGAAAAGAAAATAAATACCCTGACCTTTGGGGGAAACATACCTACCTTTTAGGGAGTGATAGGGAACAAGTGAATAGGAGGAAGAATGTAAATGGGAACAGTCAGAGAGGTAGGAATGTAGGAATGTAACTAAGTTTGGTTGGTGCCACCAAACCCAAATATGAAAAGGGTCTCAATAAGGAAGAAAGGACTAGGATAAGAACTTGTTTATATGGAGGGACCTAAATGTTGCGCCTTGGTGCAGCAGAAAGACTAGCGAATTTAAGTCAGAGAACCTTGGTTCAAGTTATTACTCCCTGTGTGACCTTGGGTAAGTAAATTAATCTCTCTGGCTCTCAGTTTTCTCATCTACTAAATGAGGGGGTTGAGCTAGATGACCTGATGTCCTTCTAGTCCTAATGTCTTTTTTTTTTTTAATCACATGTTTTATATTAAATTTCCAGATAAAACGTTTCCTTCTTCCCTTCCCCGTTAATCTATTTCTTATAACAGACGTTTTTAAGAAATAAAAACCAGGTCAGCAAAACCAGTCAACCCACTAACAACATTTGACAGTATATCCAGTGTTCCACATCTCTTCATTGAATAGTCCCCCACCTCCTCAGTGAAGGGAAAAGAGGTGTAGCCTAAGTCTTTGATTCTATAATTTAGTTCAACTCCATTTAAAAGAGGAGGAATCAGATCCATGAAGTTTATGGATTTAGCAGAGGCAGAATTAAAATGAAGGTCCTCCAATTTTCTCTTATTTTATACTGTGCTCCATTGATTGAAAATTCATCTTAGCTGATGTGCTGTCTTTTCAATAAAAAGTAATAGGAATAAATGGTTTGAAATATTTTCTTATAATTCTTGAAACTGACTTGAAATAATACAATTTTAAGTTAGCATAGACCTTAGAGTCAAAGCCAATATTATTCAACCAAATATAATATCTCATAGTTTCCTTAAAAGATGGTTATTCAAATTTTGATTGAATACTCCTTGTTTGAGTAAAAATCTTTGTGTAAATATTATTGTATAGTGTGTGTGTATTCAAAATTGTTCCTCTTTTTAAGATGATTTATATTGTATCCAGACTGAGGTGCCCCGTTTAATTACAAGTAGTATTGGATAACATTGCTTTTTCAACAATTGCCATAACATTGTAGCCTGCTTCAAATCACATAAAAAGAACTAATTTGAGTTGTGTGTAATTGAGATTATGTCCAAAGACTGTGATTTTATATTACTGAAGAAAATCTAGGATAAAATCATGTGAGTTTTCATAAGTGTGAAATGAAATTGCAGAGGGAGTTTCTGAACTATGGGCACATAGCCTTGAGAAACCACATTATATGAAATTTCAGAGCAATTATCTCCTTTTTGGAATATCAATTTATTTGACAAAATTTTTTTTCATTAAACAGAATTAATATTGTCTTGTTAAACTACCTTGAATTCTCTGTTTGGTTTGCATGTTCAGTATATGTTTGGTACTTTTTTCCTGCATAAAAATCATATTTACTTAAGGATGTATGTAACAGTATTTTTACTTTGCTTTTTTTCATTATATCAATATCATAAGATGACACTCCTTTTATTGATGTCATACTAAATGTAATTATCTTATATAGAAATATCCTACCACATTTTACTTAACACTTCTTCAGAAGAGCTAAAATTTTACATTGTCCTGCATTTACACCTAGAGTTTTTAAGTTTTGTGAGCATAAGCTTCTTCTTGTCCCCAATAGAAGTAAACCAAAATTGCTAACTTCTGTTTTTATGCTATTATTACCTGTATTTAGAATTTTTATCCTGAGGATTTGTTGCAGCAATATTGCAAAGTATATTAGATTTAGGCTTGCAGTTTGGAAGTCTTAGGCTAGAATGTTAAGTGCTTTTCAGGTAGGCATTATTTTGTTGTATAAGTATCCCTAGCACCTTGCACAATTCATGACAGTAGTGGGTACTTAATAAGTACTTATTGATTGATTGTGGGAATTCTCAAGTTAAAGAATGGGTTAAAATTAAACTTATAGAAAGAAATAAAGGTTAGAGTTAGATTCTTGGACTGGAAATAGTTTGAGTTACTCGTTGGGTTATCTGGTTTTCCTGGTTATTTTTCAAACATACCCATTTTAAGATTATGGGCTTCTTTATTTTTAATTTGGACTGATAAGTTTTTGATAGTAATTAATGTATCAAAGAAAAAGAAATACTCATTCTGAGGCAAAGAAAATAACTTCATGATTTATAAGCCTATAACTTTTGACTTATTGTGTAAAGATTAATATGGGATTTGGTTTTTTCCTGGCTCAGGATCAGTGACTGATGAGAATTAAAGGCCATGGATGAAGATGGACTTGAATTGCAGCCACAAGAGCCAAACTCGTTTTTTGATGCAACAGGTATCACAGCAGCTTCTTGGGTTGTTTTAACTTAATTGCTTAAAGATGTTAAGGTGATTATAAAGAGGATAAATTGTTAATGAGCGATGCTTTTGATCACACATTTGGATGTTTGAACTATTATTACTTTAGAGTCAATATGTATACTAAAATTTGGGCAGGTATTTTAACCTTCTCTGGGCCTCAGTTTCTTCATTTATAAAGCAAGGGAGCATGAGAGCTAAGGCCCTTTCCAGCCCTAAATCCTGTGATCTCTTCCTAAATTGGCTTTCCCTCCCAACTTCCCTGTTTGTTTTATGAGTCTTAGAGCCAATTTTTACTATTGCTTTCATGCTATTTTCCAGTCACTAAACCTTACCAAATTTGAGTTGCTAATCAGATTCAGCTACTTTTCCTGTTCTTTCCCTTCCTCCTGTGTTATTATAATAACCTCTTAATTGTTTTCCTTGCTTCTAGTTTCTTCTCCCTACAAGAGTTTTCGTTGATCGTCTTAAAACTGCTTTTATCATTCCATTCCTGTTCTTTGGCTTTCATTAACTCCCCATCGCCTCCAATATAGCAATCTTGGCTCTCTGCAATCTAATATTTTGCTTTCTGTACTTCAGTCACAATAGGAATATGTTCTAGCAGGCAAAGGAATCTTTTTACTGTCTACCTTTCACGCAACATGCGTCACTAATTTTTCTTTTTCTTTGTTTACTTGAAATGTCTTCTGATTGTTTAAATCTTTAATTCTTCAAATTGTAAAGCAGTATATAAATATGATCTGTTAATAGTCAAAACCCAGCTCAAGGTACACCTCTTCTATGAAGCCCATATGGGTCTTAACTTCCTTTGAACTATTAGCATTTATTATTTGATAGTAGTTGTTTTGACTATATCAAAACTGTAGTTTTGACAGGATAGCATATGATTAGTTCATGTGTGTTAAGTCTTATTTTTCCAGCTAAAATATGAGCTCCCTAAGGGAAAAGACTATGTTTTATAATTCTTTTGTTTTTTCCCAGCTTCTCTAAGAGCTCAAAACAAAACCGATCTTCAATAAATACTTGCTAAGTGAATGAATTTTAAGAGAAAAATATTTGTAATTTATTCATAGGACATTATGAATTTGGAAATGTAACCACTATGTCCAAAACCCCTTAATATAATATTTTAACCCTGTAGCAAAGAATTAAGTTTTCTGTCCAAACCATCACTGTTGTAAGGAGGTACACTTTAAAATGTAGAGTTAATTTTGTAGACTTTTTTTTAGTTAAATTTTATATTATTATAATTAAAATAAAATTATAAAAAAAACAAATGCACATGACCAAGAAATTTGTTAGCTTTTTAAATTTGCTTTTAAAAAAGCTAGAATCATAGAGTTACAGCATGGTATACGCAAGGAATTTTGGATTTGGAGTCGTAGGTCCTATGTTCAAGCTCTGGCTTTGCTACTTCGTGTCATTTGACCTGGGGCAAGTCAGTTAAACCTTTGTGGGGTTCAGTTTTCTGTAAATGAAAGGGCTGGACTACATGAGCTCCATGGTTCCTTCCAGTTACAAATCTTATGATCCTCTAGATTCTTAAACTTTTTCCACTTGTGAAGTGCTGCAGAATACTGGAGTTGGAAGGGGCTTTCGAAGGTTTTTTGGTCAACCACCTGCTTAAATGGTAAATCCCTTCTACATTAACCCTGACAAATGGCAATATAGTCTCTTTGTAAATAGGTAACGCTACTTCTTAAAACAATTCCTTCTACTTTCAAATAGCTCTAATTGCTGGGATATTCCTTATATTGATAAGATTAAGACCTGCTTCCTTCAAATTTCTACCCATTGGCCCTTGTTACTTTCTCTGAAGACAAGTAGAATAAGTCTGATGATCCCTCATCCAGATATCCCTATAAATATCAAAGTCGTTTACCTTGTCTGCCTCAAGTCTTCAGGCTAACCATTCTCAGTTCTTCAACTCATGCTTACTTAATTTGCACTGTAATCCCTCTATGCTTTCTTACCCTGTGTGATGTTTATCTGTATCTTTTCCATATGTTTGCCATAGAAGATCCACCCAGTTCATTTGATGTGTTTTTAATATCTGTGTTACATTTAGAATATTCACCTTTTTTCCCCCTCATGTTTGGTACATGCCTGGTCATTTCTGGTCATACATATTCTTTGTAATGTCTTTTGTACTATTTTTGGAACATATGTAGCACTAGAAGATTGGACCTATGGTGGTTAATTATTTGACTATAAAAACTTGTGAAATGGGAGAAAACAAAGTTGTTTTCATTTCCTTTTGATATAAATTCATTAACATTCTTTAGATCTAGTTTTTCAGTGGATGCTGAATGCGCTTAATTTTGTGTTCCAGACAGCATTACTAGCTCTTGACCATAATGATATACCTTTCTGAAATCTTGATATACTGCATTCATACTGATATACCTGCTTAATAACACTGTCAAAAGAGAAAATGGATTTAGTCTGACATCATTTATTTTTCATGACTTCTTGTGGTTCCTAATGGTCACCAATATCCTTTACGAGTGCTAACGTTTTATAATTTGTTCTAGAATTTTGTTGATCATGAACATTAAGTCTGGTCTATAGTTGAACAAATTTACATTCTCTCATTTTCTGAAGATTGAAACATTTGTTAGTCTTTAGTTCTGGCACTTCTTCTGTGCTATATGGTTCCTCAAAGATAAACAATGATTTAGCTGTCCATTTAAGCAACCTGGGAATTCTCCAATTCCAAGTGACTTTAACTCATTTAATTAGAGCAGCCAGGCAGTCTCTTATTTTCTCACTTGTCTTGGATTTTAATTTCATCTTAATCATTTTTACTTTACCTTTTACTCTGAAATAATTTTCCTTAGTATATAAAAAGCAGAACTATTTGGGTAGTTTGGTTTTCTGTCATCTGTTAATTTTATCATATTGATCCTAAGTGTTAGAGCTTCTTTATTCCTATTTTTTCCTCCAGTGTAACTGAAAGGGTATTTTTGTAATCATTATTAGAATTTTTCACAAGCATCAACTTATGGCTCTAGTCTTCCTGACACCATTCTCCAAGGAGCTTATCATTTCTTCATTTATTTTTATTCATCCCTGGTTAAATGTTCCTAATGCCATATTTTGAATGTAGACTTTAATATTTCAGTGGATCTGAGATCTTAATCAATATAGATATTCTTTCCATTAGATTCTTGGCCATATTTTTAATACATCTCCTTAGGATTTACCCAGACTCCTAGAAGCCTTCTTTTCAGTCTTTTTATATTTTGTGTGTCCCAGCAGCATACCTGGGCTGTCCATTTATTCTTCTTTGCTTTCAACATGTGACTGGCCCACTTTCTTTTCTGACCATACATTTATTTAATGATATACCTTATGTGACTGTTTGTGCTCACCATGTGTATCTATTACCCTGTGGGTCACCTACAACTTTCATTCCTTAGAAATTGTGATACTTACATATTTGCAACTAGGCAGCGTTGATAGAAGAAAATTTGTGTTTAAAAGATAGATGTTTGTACCAGGATGAAGATTAAAGTCATTACATTAAGCCCTAGAACTTTGCATAGTTTCCTAAATTAAATTCATGATAATTCAGAACAGCTTTAAACCACTCACACAGGAAAAGGTAGATGAAGAATGCCTATTGTCTAGCCAAGGTGGGCAGACTACGACCAGAAGGCCTCAGCCTACTTGTGTATGGCCTTTTGGCTAAAAATGGTTTTTATATTATAAAATACAACAAAACTATTTTGAAATGTAAAGACCATTCTTGCCTGGCAGGAGTCAAAGGGCTAGACTATGTGTATTTGGATGGACAACCTTTAGCCATTGTCCACTGGTAAATATCTTAGACAGACACTTCAAGTGTCTAGAGAGTTGTGATCATAGTTAAACGAGACAAATGAGCTGGGTTTGTCTCTTGGAAATTGCAAAATTCTTTCAGTGGCCCCAAGCTTCTCTGAAATAAAGGCCCATGTTTTTAATATTAGTATAGTTGTGAGTTATGAGATAATATAGACTCCAAAGAACTGAAGTTAAAGATTATCCAAAGGACAATCAAGAGGCACATATTACAAACAAGTAATTATGAAGAAGTGGTGTTAAGGATGTCATAAAAGATAAGTTTCTCCAAAAAGATGAGCTAACCTTATGGCAAGAATAGAGGATTATCAGTGAAAAACCTGCATGCTCATGTTGCCATGAGAATTTTTGGAAGGTTGTTACTATACTGAGTGAACCTGTGATGTACTTATGAGAGGACTTGGAAAAGAGTCACAGAGGATAGGCAAGGATGGATGGTTTGCAGCCTGCCTTGTTAGAAAGAATACCCACATCAGTAATATCAGAGATCAGTTGGAGTATCAAAGTAATCTAGCTTACTAACTTTTTTTCCACTTTTGTATCTATAGTACCAGCCCTAGATTGTGTGTGTGTGTGTGTGTGTTTGTGTGTTTGTGTACATACATGTATGAGGCAATTAGATGGTACAGTAGATAGAGCTCAGGGCCTGGAAGATACGAGTTTAAATCCAGCCTCAGATACTAGCTGTGACCCTGGGCAAATCACTTAACTTGTTAGACTCAGTTTACTCATCTGTAAAATGTGTATACTAATAATAGGCAAATGAAATCATTGTAAAGTCCTAAGCCAGTACCTGGCATATAATAGGTACAGTGTATTATTATTGTGTGTATATATTCTTAAATACATATATGCATATATAATGTATATGTATGTATACGTATACATACGTATACATACACATACAATTTATTATGGTCCTTCAACCTCATTTTGTAATCTAGACAATAGGTATTTTTTTTCCATTTCGTATTTCTCTATAAGTTATTACCCTGATCTCTTTTGAGTGATTATGAATCTATTTGAGTAGACTATAATATTCAGATACTTGATGAAATTAGCTCATTAATCATCCATAAAAAAGAAGCATTTGGAAAAACCTCACTACCTTTCTCTTCCATTTAGACCTGGCAAACTGGGTCAGTGATGAGCCCCTTTGGTGTGCATATATTTCTCAGTTCTTTGCCTTGCTTGTGGTTAATCACAAGGCTTTTGAATAGTTATCACTGTGTTTGTACTATCAAGAATTTTGTATGAACTTGACACATACTTGAGAAACTGTGTTCCCAGAAGAGACCCTTTTAAGGCTTTACTGAATGCTTTTTTGTAATCAGTAAAGATAAAGCCTGTAGTATCTTGTAATCTCTTTACCTTGGTTAGCTGTAGAGGATAGTTGGCAAAACCTTGCCTTTTCCCTCTCATATTTTCCTCAAGGATACTCTGGATGTATGTAGATCAATTTGCATGAAGATTTCATAAACTTGGGAGAGTGGATATATGGGTTGGTAGTTATTGATGTTCTCTCGTTTGCCTTTGAGGAGAGTAGTTATTAGTAGTGTCTGTGATTTTTTTTTCCCCCATTTTGTTATTTTTTCCTCCGTGAGATATCTTGTGAAGTTTTTTCCCATTGCTTACATTGAATTGCCTCCAGCATGGAGGCATTCCAAGATGTATATAACATTCCAAGATGTATATAATTTGGTTTGTCTGATCTTCCTGACTTCATCTTCTTATATGCTGTTTCTAACTTTGGATTACATTGACTATAGGTGTTAGAGCCCAAATGTTCCTTTATCAGTGATGATGAAAATAGTTTGTTATAAAACTATTAATAAATTTGTTCCATTTTACATCAGTTTACTCTTGGAGTGATGTGGCTCTTTTGGGTCACATGCCAGACTATCCTTTGACTTGCTTTTGCTTCCATTGCTTTTTGCTCTTTTATGAGGTTTTATTGTTTGTAATCTTTTGCCATCCTTCTCCATTGCTTTACGAATGGATTTATAGTCTAAATCAGTGTTGCCCTTGGTTTTTAACTCTACTTGGCAAGAAGATCAAGTGTTTACTTGTTATTGTAGTTCCTGAGCTCTTTTGATTTCCTCCTTTCATTGGTTGTTTTATACTATTGAACTATTTGCAAGAAATAGTGATAATGGAGGTCATTATTTCTCCTCTTCTCGTCCCAGTTTTTCATCATTGATAGATAATTTGACTAGGTAAGGTTGAAGTTGTTTTAATTATTCAAGATGACTTTTCATCTTTAATAATGTTCTTATTCATAGACTTTGATCTTTGCTCTAGCTAGTCAGTGGTCCATTTGCCGACAGAAAACTGATTCAGAAGAAAATATTAGTGATGTAAAGGTCTGAGTCTAAAAAGCCTCTGGCCTCTTTCATTGCCCAAGACTGAACCATATTTCATATGTATCTTTTTAAAATCTGTGCTCAATCGAAAACTCTCTATATGGCCTTATTAATGTTTTAGGTCCATCTTTGGAATCTGTTTGCTTTTTGAGCAATACAGTTCTTAAAAGTCTTTTCTTTTAATTTTTTTTTTTGCTTAGGCAGTTGGGGTTAAGTGACTTGCCCAGAGTCACACAGCTAGTAAGTGTCAAGTGTCTGAGGCTGCATTTGACTCCAAGGGCAGAGCTCTGTGCACTGCGCCATCCAGCTGCCCAAGCTCAAGAGTCTTTTCACCCTTCTTGATCATGGGCTCGTAGATCCGGAGTTGGAAGGGACTGGAGAAGCCATCTAGGCCAATTTCATCTTTTTACAGATACAGACATTGAAGTCCAGAGAGGTTAAGTGACAAGCCTAACATCATACAGGTGGTGTCAGAGGCAGGATTTAAAAAATACATACATGTATAAAATATATAGATATATATATTCCCCCCCAATTACATATACAGACCATTTTTAACATTCATTTTAAAACATTTGAGTTCCAAATTCTCTCCCTTCCATCTTCCCTACCCCCCTCCCTGAGATGGTAAGTAGTATGATATAGGTTATACATGTGCTATCATGTAAGTCATTTCCATAGTAGTCATGTTGTGGCAGAAAACACAGACCAAAAAAAAACATGAAAAAATAAGGAAGTTAAAAATTGTGTGCTTCAATCACCAACAGTTCTTTCTCTGAATGTGGATAGCATTTTTCATCATGAGTCCTTTGGAATTGTCATGTATCTTTGTATTGCTGAGAATAAGTCATTTACAGTTGACCATCGTGTAGTGTTGCTGTTACTGTGTACCATGTTCTCCTGGTTCTGCTCACTTCATTTCATAAGTTTATGTAAGTCTTTACAGGTTGTTCTGAAACCATCCCACCTGTCATTTCGTATAGCACAATAGTATTCTTCCATTACAGTTATATGCCACAACTTGTTTCAGCCATTCCCAATTGACAGGCATCCCCAGAAGCATTTGAATGGACTTCAGAACCAGTGCTCTTTCCACTGTTCTACAGCCTTTTGTTTTAGATTTGCTATCTATCAAGTGTAACCTATTTTTTTTTCTGATATTTGTCAGTTATATTCTCCTAAATTCTAGGGTACACAATAAATTATACCAGCTTGGCTATCACAAGCTCTAAAATGATATGACTGTTTTCTTTCAGGGTTACTCTTCTAGTTTACCAGTCCTTCCCTGTTATTCAGAGTAAAGTTTGGAATAGCATTTTCCCTAGACACTTTTTCTACCTTCTGAAATAGGTAATTATTAACACGTTAGGAATTTGTAAGATGTATAGCTCTTGGCAGAAAGAGTCCTTTAGCAGATTTCTAAATATTTAAAGATTTTCGTCACAGATTTTCATCTAACCTTCTTGCCAGTTTTGTAATTTGACAGGTTTATATTACTTGTAAATTTCTTTTTTTTAACTAATTTTTGTAATCCAGTTTGAGGTTATTGTTAAACAGGATTGATTATGTTTTCTTGACCATTTTATTGCAATATGTATGGGGTGGTTATATTTTATCTTTAAATCACAATAATTTCTTTGGAGAAATTAATTTAATAGGAATAGCATGACAAGTCCATGTAGTTCAGAGAATGGAAAAGACATTCAGGGTCTCTCAAATTTCTAAATACTGAAAGTGATTGTCTGCCTTTGAGTAAATTGCTAAATTTGGGAATATGTAAATTTTAATTTATAAAGTAATTTTAATATAGAATAGCATTGTCATCTTATAGGTGCATAGGACTTTAGTCTGCATTCTCTCATTTGATATGCAGCATAGTATAATGGATAGAGAGCTGGCCTCAAAGCCAGGGAGACTTGGGTTCAAGTCCTACCTCTGACACATACTAGATGTGTGACCTTGGGCAAGTATTTTAATCTCTTAGTGCTCTAGGCAACTTTTTAAGACTAAGTTGCAGAGAAGGTGTTGAGCTGCATTGAAGGGCGAGTTCTGTCATCTGGGAGTATCATATGTCAGTGAAATCACAGATATATCCCTATTTCTCTCCCTCTCTCATTTGATACTCAAACCATATGAGGTAGGCATAGAAGCTATTATCCCTGTTTCACAAATGAAGGACCAGAGTGAGAGAGGTTCTGTAACTGTCAGGTTGGATGGCAGAGCCTACGACTAGAACCAAGGTCCCCTGACATTAATGCAGTAGTTTTCGTGCCTCAACATATAAATATATTTAAAACTAGAATCGTGGAATATAAATTGTTAGAAAGCATTTTACAGAAGAAATTCTGGAGAACTTAAAATACCTTTTAAATTGATGATAAATTTACTGTTTTAGCTCATTTAAAATATTTTTTGACAAATAAAATTTGTCTTTTTTTGACCTATTCTTCAAAACAAGTAGCGTGTAAAAGAAATTTACCAAAAATTTATGTCCCTGTGTGTCTGAGAAGTGATGTAGTGATTGATTTTATACACCTGCGAAATTGATGGAAAAGTAGTAAGATAGTAAAGGAGTGGTCTTCTGGTTAAGAAACTAAAGTTATTTTTCTTGTAGTGACAGGATCACTGGGTCTGAGAGTTAAAAGACCTGGCTTCTATTTCTAGGTCATCTGCTTAATTTGGCTTTGTTTTACACTGGGTTTAGTCACTTTTATGTGTAGGGGTAATAATGGGTGTTGGAATAGACTCTAGTGTTTTCTCCAACTTGAAATTTTATAGTTTTTTCTCTCTTATCCTAGTCCTTAACTATCAAAGAATATTTCCCTATTTGCTTCCTGAACCTTATTTCTCCCAAAGCATCCCTTCCTTTTCAAAAGGCCTTACTTATCATCTTTCCTACTTCTCTCATGCTGAACTTACTTATTGATATCATGGTTATAATACTATAAATTAAGATCTTTTTCTCAACTTAAATATGTAATATCTATGCCCATACTTAGCACTGTAGTCCAGATCATTGTCAGAACAGTAGGAAAGAAATTTAAAGGGATAAGGGGAAGAGTATTCTACTGAAAGAAGTAGAAAGGAGAAATCAGAAGAGGGTGAATGTTTTGTGAGGGAAAAGGGGGAAAATGAACTTATGGTGAAGAAGGGAGGAAATGTGTTTTACAGATAAAATTTTCTGATACTTATTTAATTTTTTAATTTTAGAGTCATCTATAAATACTTCAATGACATTACTAGCATTAATACTGTTTAAACTTTTTATCCTTGTGTTTCCAGAAGTATTTTTCCTATGAATATATTGTCTGATTACCTCGTCATTGATTTGTCTAGAACATTTTTTCAGATATTATTTGAATGTTTTGCATGACTTCATATGTATAATGGGTATCATATATTTTTCCTTCTCAATGGATGGTAGAGGGGAGGGAGAGAATTTGAAACTGAAAATAAAACTTTTTTTTTAAATTAAAAAAAATACTATTTGACTTGTGATGGGTCAAAAAGTGATCAATGTGTTATAAGTTTGTATTCTTCCAGCCTCCTCCCAAAAGTAGAAATAAATCACACAGTTATTGTTTTAGTGTAATTCAATACAAGAGAAAACTTTGAAGTCAGTAGTATTTCCTGTGGAAATTTTTTAAAAAAAGTAATTATCATTTGAAGTAGGTTTGTATGCCTGTAAGTTCATTTTTGTTTTTATTTTTTAAAGGGGCTGATGCTACACACATGGATGGTGATCAAATTGTTGTGGAAGTACAAGAAACTGTTTTTGTTTCAGATGTGGTGGATTCAGACATAACTGTGCATAACTTTGTCCCTGATGATCCAGACTCTGTAGTAATCCAAGATGTTATTGAGGACGTTGTTATAGAGGACGTTCAGTGCCCAGATATCATGGAAGAAGCAGATGTGTCTGAAACAGTCATTATTCCTGAGCAAGTGCTGGACACAGATGTAACTGAAGAAGTCTCATTAGCACATTGCACTGTGCCTGATGATGTTTTAGCCTCTGACATAACTACAGCTACTATGTCCATACCAGAACACGTATTGACAAGTGACTCTATGCATGTACCTGATGTTGGACATGTGGAACATGTTGTTCATGACAATGTTGTAGAAGCAGAAATTGTCACAGATCCTCTGACAACTGATGTAGTTTCAGAAGAAGTATTGGTAGCAGACTGTGCCTCAGAAGCTGTTATAGATGCCAATGGAATCCCTGTGGAACAACAAGATGATGATAAAAGCAACTGTGAGGATTACCTTATGATTTCCTGTAAGTTTTGGGGTAAAGCTCTATTGTCAAAGATATATTTTGAAAGATGTCTTCTCTAAATGATATCAGGGATGATATTTACTTTACTTGAAACTTCTATAAAATTAAAGTAAATCTCATAAACCTACCTGTATTTGTGTTTCAGTTGGATCCTATTAAGTTAGAATCTTAAGAAAATTAAAGTGCTTAAGGGACTGCTGATAGGTCAGAAAGATAGACATTGAAGAGAATTTTTAATTGGTTCCTTAAATCATGAAGGGTAATTGAAGCTGGACCACTTAATCTTGATAAACTGGAACTAGGGGTCAATGCTTGAAATTTCAAATGAAGTAATTTAGGAGGAATAAAAGGAAAGATACAATACAACAGATAAGAGATGAGTACAGAGAAAAGTAGAAGCATCTTCAAAAGGATTTGGACAAATTGATGACTGAATGAAACTATGATATTTTGTTACTTTCCTATCTTTTCTGCTTCACAGGCAAGCTATGCCCTTGAACAAAATGTTTCTTAGTCCTGCCGTCAGAAACAGAATATAAGATTGGATGTATCACAGTTATAATCATTATATGAAAATTTTAACGGTTTTAGAATGAATTTCCATAGAAAATGATTGCAAACAGTTTGCTTCTCTAAAGTCTTGTATGACTATTTCTTTTAAACACAGAGCATTGTTAAATAATATGATGTATAGGAAACCTATAGTATTTAAGGGCTATATGTTCAATATAATTTTGCAAACTTTTTTGTCTTTATTCTGTGCAAAGTGTTAGATGTTAAGGAAGATGCAAAGATTGATAAAGTATAGTACCCACTTTTTGGAACTTACAAAGGAGAGGAGACAGAAAAATAATGATGGTACCCCCCAAAAAGTACACTCAGTTTATAAAAGGTGCAAATAAAGTTCTAGGACAGTTCTAAGCACGAAGTCATTTCCAACTGGGCAGGATCAGGAATAGTTTTGTGGAGGAAGGAGGGGTGATTGGAGTTTCAAGGAGACATGGAATTTCAATAGGCAGAGATAGGGGAGGTAGAAATTCCAAGGAGGGTAGGGTGTGAGCAAAGGAATGGACATGTTCAGGTAACAATGATTAGTCCAGTTTAGTTGAACATAGAGTAAATGAAGGAGAGAAATAGGGAATAAGGCTAGAAGGATGGTCTGGAACCAGGACTTTGAATGACCAGAGGTTACACTCCTTTTGGGCAGCAATTAGAGAATCTTGGAAAGATATTGAGCAACATAGCGCTATGAACATATCAGTGTTTGGGAAATTAAATTGGCACTAGTATATAAAATGTATTCAATAGGGAGAGGGACCAGAGGCTGGGAGATCAAAGGACCCTACAAATATAGCAAATACTATAATCAAGATAATAAAGAGTAACAGGGATATGGTGTGTGGTAGCCTAGTTGGGAAAGGAGTTCCTCTAGAGTTCTTCACCAGTTCTGGATGCCTTTTCTTCCTCATGTCAAAGAAAACAAAAACCAAATTTAGTTTTCCCTGGAGTACAATACTTGGAGTCAGCATTTTTTTTTTTTTTTTTGTAGCATATAGCCTAACATCAGCCACCCCCACCTTCCACATCTTTTTAAGGGGATCATGAAAAACAGTCTTTACTTGGGGGGAAGGCCTGGTACAGTGAATCATTTGTTTTGTACTTTATTATGTAGTTTGTTCTTTCTTTCTTTCTTTCTTTTTTTGGTTAGGCAATGGGGTTAAGTGACTTGCCCAGGGTCACACAGCTAGTATGTGTTATGTGTCTGAGGTCGGATTTGAACTCAGGTCCTCCTGAATCCAGGGCCGGTGCTCTATCCACTGTGCCACCTAGCTGCCCCTAGTTTGTTCTTTTTTATTAACATTTTTATTTAGCTTTCTTTTAGGCCCTGGCTCCAATTTAAAGAAGCCCCCCACCCCTTTTTTTCCCCTGAGTAAATAAATATTAAAGAAGGAATGGCTCTTTTTACCTTAAAAAAAAATGAACTAATCTGTAACCTTCAGAATGAAAGTTTCCATAATCTAGCTGTTAGTAATGATAATAATTAACATTTATATAGCACTTTAACTTTTGCAAATGTTTTGTACATATTATCTCATTTGATCCTCAGATAACCCAATGAGGTAAGTGCTATTATCCCCATTTTACAGATGAAGAATTGGGTTGAGAGAGGTTACATTGTTAACCTGGGTTTACACAACTAATAAGTGTCTGAGGAGGGAATTGAGCCCAAGTCTTCCTGACTCCCAGTACGTTCTCTTTCTACTATACCACACTGCCTCCTTTCCATATAGTATATTTTAATATCAGCAATTTGAAAATAAAATTACTTCCTTTGTAATTTGGACTGAAATTCCAACAAATAATGATGGCTTACTCATATAAGATTTTGTGCTGATGTCTAACTGTCCTCCAATAACCCAAAGGATTTAAACTGACACTAAAGGAGAAACACTTGTTCTTTTACCCTTTAGTTTCACATTTGATAAACATTAAGAACATTGAGATGGTTGTATTAATTTTTTTAAAACTGTGATTCTGTGATGATGGTTTTTGAGTAGTAGCTTTATTTTCTTTTTTTTTTCAATCAAATATTTATTAAGTACTTGTTATGTTCTAGGTACTAGAGACGCAAAGACAAAAATTAAACAATCCTTGCTGTCAAGGAGCTTACATTCCGTCAATGAGCTGGGTGGTTTTGGAACTGTCAGCAGTGTCTCATTACAAATTGAGCCTAGTACCCTAAGGAAAACTATAATGGGGTAACTGTAAAGGACTAAGACAGTGGTAAAAGTAACTAAGTATCCTTGGATGGGAAGGTTAGCAGAAGTGCCGATTACCAGCATTTTCCATGGAAAAAGTATGGTTTTATTTTCTCTGTCTTTTACAATCTTTAGATTTTTTCTTCCCTACCAGCTGTTATATGTACGTATTCTAGAATTAACGTCTGTATCCTCTCTGAATTCAACTAGTTGTGGTGCCATGGCTAATGAAATAGCTAGCAGCTTCTGATTTTTCCAGTTACATGAAAGATTGAAAATGGTTAGGACTTTGTTGTCATGTGGGTGGATATTATCCTTGAGAAAGCTTCTAGAGGACACTACTTTTTTTCTGATTTTGTTGCTTACTTTTTACTTGGTACCTCGTGTATGGCATACTATATAAGTAGTGTTAGTAATGATAAGTACTTTTTGTATTTGTAGACTATAGAATTTTCCTGGTACAATCTGGTACCTCATTCTGTAGGCTTATTTTCAGTCTTATCAATGCTGAACAAGCTCTGCAGAGCTGTCCATAATCCCCATATACACTTGAAAATTACAGTCTTCTGAAAACAGCAGATCCAGGATTTGGATATTACTCTCATGAACTGCAATGTTCAAAGGATTTCCAATATTCTAAACCTAATTCGAAGCATTGAACATGGCTGAAGAATTTAACTAAAACTGGATATATGTTTAATTCTAAAACTAAAATTAACCAGAAATGTCAAAAAACAACAGCTCTGTAAAGTAGAAAGCAAATACACCCAGCTCTGTATTCTAATCTCAATGTTTATTTAGACATAGCATTATAAAGTTTGTCATCAAGATGTCAGAATGGGGGCAGCTAGGTGGCACAGTGGATAGAGCACCGGCCCTGAAGTCAGGAGTACGTAAGTTCAAATCCGGCCTCAGCCCAAACATTTAACACTTCCTAGCTGTGTGACCCTGGGCAAGTCACTTAACTCCAATTGCCTAAAAATTAAAAAAAAAAAAAAGATGTCAGAATGATTTCATTCTGAGTTCTCCTCTGTTTTCTTATTACTTATTATTGGCTTTTCCCTGCTTCTATCTAGTCTTCATTTAGCCTGCAACCTAGTAGGCGCTTGATAAATGTTGATTGATTCCAAGGCAAATTAGTAGTCAGATTAGCATAACATAAGTATTCCAGTGCTGAGCATTTATACTTTACACACAGACAAATATATATACACACGATGGTGCAGATACAAACATCTTTGTACAGTTTTTTCCTCTTTTCTTGGAATGTCATGCCCAAAGTAGCATTATTGAGTCAAAGGATATGATTATTTTTATTACTCTTTTTACCCACTAGCATGATGTTTCCCAAAAAGTTTTTTTTTAGTGTCATCAACAGTGTGGAAGGCTATCTCTTTCCTTCCACAACCTCATCAACATTGTGCTTTTTCATTTTCATTTATTTTTGTTATTTTAGTGGGTGTGATGGTACTTGTAATATGTTTGTTTTTAATTATTACTGAATGAGAACCATTTCCATAGTTACTTAGTATTTGTATTTCTTTTTATATGAGCATTATTTTGTCCTTTGGAGATTATATATCAATCAGTTCTCTATATATTTTAGGGATCAAAATCTTACCTATAATTTTAATTGTGAATACATACATATATTCCTATTTTAAAATTTTGTTTTGTTGTGCAGAAATGTTTTATGTTTATGCAGTATTAACTGTGCTCCTTTGCTGGTAATTACTTCTCTTGTTTTAATAGTCAAGAAATTAATCTCCTTTCAAAATTGGAATATGTACATTATTACTTTTTAAATGGTTTGTTTTTTAAATGTAAATTCTTAATCCAATTGTAGTTACATATTTCTTTTTCTTATTTACACGCAGTTTGTCCAGTAGTATTTATGAAATAATTATTCCTTCATTTTTAAAGTTTTGGTTTGCCTTTAAACTCTAAAATAGGTTTGAATCTATTTTTTGGCTTATTTTATTTAGTTTTACTAGTTTACTTATCTTGTAATCTGTTGCCAAATAATTTTGACTAGTTGCTTTATATTTTTGGAAAGACAGTTTTCTTGATGCTACCTTTTAACATTTGCATATGTGTGTATACATTAAGGATCTAGTCCTTTATTGGTGTGGTTACTTTTCTTATTGGTTCAGATTGCAGTCCCTTTCTACAATTTAGTGTTCAGTCTTCAGGAATTATTGTATTCTGAGATTTCCTCACCTTGCAAGGAATGTGTGGATG